CACACGGATAGACACACAAACAGATAGACACACACGGATAGACACACACAAGGATAGACACACGGATAGACACACGGATAGACACACACACGGATAGACACACACATGGATAGACACACACACGGATAGATACAAACACAGATAGACACACACACGGATAGACACACACACACGGATAGACACACACACAGATAGACACACACGGATAGACACACGGATAGACACACACGGATAGACACACACACGGATAGACACACGGATAGACACACGGATAGACACACACACGGACAGACACACGGATAGACACACACATGGATATACACACGGATAGACACACGGATAGACACACACGGATAGACACACACACGGATAGACACACGGATAGACACACACACGGATAGACACACACACGGATAGACACACGGATAGACACACACGCGGATATACACACGGACACTCACAACAAACACCTCGAACGTTACACTCCACATGCGCTTACACAAAATAACCAAACGCGTTCCTCGATAACTCTCGATAACTCTCAATAACTCTCAATAACTCTCGATAACACAAGAAAGTACATGATCGGCGACGTTTCGGTCAATGACCTTTCTTCATAGCACACAGCAAGAGAAATAGGGTGGTTGATGAGAGCTGGAGAGCGCGCTGATCACCCCGGGGCCCGATGAGATTGACATGTCAGCTGTTTTCTCGTGACCAGCTGTGTCAGTAAGCGTCCGAGTCGTCGCCCTACTCGAGGTGATGGAAGGGCTCGGAGCCACTCTGGCTACCGAGCGGTGTGACGAGTCACGTGCCAATCTAAAAACCCGTGACATCAGACCCCCGTTGTGTAAACAGGCGCAGTCTCTGATTATTGTCCAACTCAGTCGGCCTACTGGCCCTCTCTCCTTACATGCTATGAAGGGCCATTGCCCGAAACATCCCCTCCAATTGTTTTGTATTATTAAAGCCCCCCACACACAGTGTATACACCACGCACACACACACGGTGTATACACCACGCACACACACACGGTGTATACACCACGCACACACAGTGTATTCACCACGCACACACAGTGCATACACCACGCACACACAGTATATTCACCACGCACACACAGTTTATACACCACGCACACACACAATTTATAAACCACACACAATGTATGCATCACACACACACTGTATACATCACACACAGTGTATACATCACGCACACACACACAGTGTATACACCACGCACACACACACAGTGTATACATCACGCACACACACACAGTGTATACATCACGCACACACATAGTATATTCACCACGCGCACACACACAGTGTATACACCACGCACACACAAAGTGTATACATCACGCACACACAGTATATTCACCACGCACACATACAATTTATAAACCACACACAGTGTATACATCACACACACACAAAGTATATACACCATGCACACACACAGTGTATACACCACGCACACACACAAAGTGTATACACCACGCACACACACACAGTGTATACATCACGCACACACACAAAGTGTATACACCACACACACAACGTTTATACACCACGCACACACACACAAAGTGTATACACCACGCACACACACAAAGTGTATACACCAGGTACCCACAAAGACAACGATCCCCGTATAAAGCCTTGGCACAGACTGCCCGGGAAAGTGCCGCTGGATACACAACACGTGAGAAGCGACAACAAACGGAAAGGATCACGAATACAGCCTCGCATGCATTATTTGGGTAAATGATGTAAGCGAGCACCTATTAAAGCCGGCTCAGTACAATTGCCTTTCCGAGTGTTGATGTTTGTTCACCTCACCAGGAACACGTCAAAGGTCGAGTTCACCTCGGGGGGAGGACCATCGCAGGTTCAGATTCAACTCGGCCACTGAGGTTGCAAGTGAAATGGAAGCGTGCGTTACGTCCTCGGGTCCTCGTCATTCGCCACCGAGTATCGGTGACATCACCTCTGTGCTTGTGCCAGGCTAGGTGCACTTTGAGGTCCTCACGTGAAGTGCTGCTGGCAGGTCACGGGACACACCCAGTATGTGTGCATGTTGCACTTCTTTCGCACCGTACCTAGCCAACCGAGCTAATCTGAGGTGCGGGAGCTAATTGGAGACCCAGGTGTTATGGGTTCGCTGAGTGTTATGGGTTCGTTTTAGAGTGCATCACGTGTTCCCCGCTGTGTTTTAGCCGCCCGTCGCTTCGCTCGTTTGCGTGAGCGTCGCTCCTCCACCCTCCGTTGCTGTTGGTAGGACGGCTGCCTCCAACTGCCCAGTAGCGTCCTTCACGAGCCTCCTCCATCAGAGGCCGATCTTGGCACCGCTTGCACTAGCATCTCCACTGACCACTAGCATCTCCACTTACCGCATCATCTCCAGCCCGTGCCGTGCCCGTTTACCTCCCCAAACTCCATACGGCCAAACAGAAGCCGCTTGGAGCATGCGGTGGCTGGGCATGCGGACTAGATGACCCAGCCAACGCAGCTTCGCCTGCCGGAGGAGCGAACCGATGACATTGTCCATATGTTTGAAGGTTACAGCAATCTAATCTGGACAAAACCCAGGATGGATCGTATCCAGACCGGCCTCAATCGTTCCAAGCGGGCGCAGGTGTTTCTATTAAATGGGAAAAAGGGGTATAGCTGTGGTCAGCGTGAAACCTACTTCCAAACTTCGTGCGGAGCGGACTCGAGGCGACTTCCACAGAAGAGCGCGGCAAATGAAAGATGACTTCACGGAGACGGCGATCATATCTTGTTTACAGCCCTGAGCCGAGTGGTGGGAATTCAGCATTCATATGGCAGGGGGAGAGTCTATCCATAGTACAACCGTTGTTGACTTACCGACAAACTGGTGCTCACTTAATCGACTCCAGATGGACTGTGAGCTGCTTCAACCCCCACCAGTCACTCACACCTTCAGATCCACGCAACGATGTCTCGTATAGTCTTGAACAGACTGTTGGCGAGCACCTACTAAGGTGATATTCATGCATTGTTGGCTCTAAGCTGGAATCGAGCTCGGGTTGCCAGGTTCGTAACGCAGTACGCTAACCAGTGAAACCGCTCACACACAAAGATCCCCCATAGAGCCTATAACAGACTGTTGGGGCAAGTGCTGTTAGCGAGCACCTATGAAGTCCGGCACGGCAGACGAGGTAGGTGGCCAGCCGTCTTTGTCTCCCTAGTGGCGACATTTATACATCGCACCAAGTACATTTAAGTCTGAGTCGGCCTAGGGGAGTCCCATGACCACACACACCCACATATTCTCACACAACCACCGGCCCCCACCAACACCCCACCCACAACACCCCAATACATGCACACACCAACACCCCACCCACACACCCACATCCCCACCCACCAACACACACCAACACCCCCAAACACAAAAACAAAGAGCCCCCGTATAGCGTTAACAGACTGTTGGCATGTTCTGTTAGCGAATAGCACCAATGAAGGCCGGCACGGAACATGAGGGGTGGCCAGCAACCACGCCCAGCCGCCTTTCTCTCCCGAGTGGCGATATCTACATACTGCACCACCAGGTACTCATTTGAGGCTGAGTCGGCCTAGGGGAGGCCCAGGACCAGTTCAGATAATATAATCGTCACTGGTGGTGGCCGTGAGCGGGAATCGAACTCGGGTGACCTTGTTCGTAGCGCAGCGCACAGACCACTACACTACCGCTCCCTCAAATACCGCCCACCTACCCACACACCAATACATACTAACAACCCCTCACACCCACCAACTAACATACACACACCAACACCCCCCACACAGACACACACACAGGGGACGCGATGTCCACAGAGCCGGGGTTTATTTACAAGGAGAAGGCCGGTGCCGTGAGCTGGCAGCGCACGTGGTTAGCAGATCGCCGGGCTTGTTAATGGTCGCTAAATAAATACTCGAGAAACGAACATCGCCAAACAGCCCCCAACGTAAATACGCAACCCTGCAGCCACCACCACCACCACCGTCAGTGGCTCTGCGTTGAGAACGCGAACTCGCCCACGCGGGGGGTTTCACGCCACAGCGTCGCTCGCTCCTTTGCCCGGACTCCAACCCTGGCTCTCGGATTTGAGCCGTGGCCCTTTCCCGGTGCACCCGAGGTGCCAGGGCGCAGCGCCAGCGGCGTGCACGATACGCAGTGCACAACATATCGAGGGTGTGATGAGAGGGAGTGTGCGCTACAGAGTGTGGACTAAAGGAGGCAGCCGAGCGGATAGCGCGCTGCGCTAACGAACCCGGCGACGCGAGTTCGATTTCCGCTCACGGTCAACACCAGTGACGAATACCTGAACCGGTCCTGGGCCTCCCCTAGGTCGACTCAGCCTCAAATTAGAACCTGTTGCATTGTGTAAACATCGCCTCCTTGGGGAGACAAAGGCGGGCGGGCGTGATGCGGCTGGTCACCGACCCCATCGTGTGCCATGCCGGCCTTCATAGGTGGTCGCTCACAGAACTTTCCCAAAGTCTGTTAAGGCTACACGGGGATCTTTGTCTTTTGATGGGAGGGTGCGGCACGGTCCACAGATCTTCAGGCATCCGCTGTGCTCCGTCAATGGGGAAGTTGCGCGGTTCGCAGCGTGCGCGGAGCTGTCATCGGAGTGGACTTCCACCGAGGGAGCCTTCAAGAGGAGTCCCGCGCGCAGACGCACAGACTCGCGGTCGTGGCCACGTGCTCGTGAAGCGGTTGGGCTTCGTGGGGACGACTGCGGGTTTCAGACCCGACCCAAGAAGAACCCCACGGCTTCTTTATCTTGTAGCGAGACCCCGCGAGGCAGCACCGCGGGAGTTGCCTCTTACGTTTCGTTTCCTTTCAAACGAGGTCCGCGCGTTTTTTGACGATTTGTGTGTTTTCGTTATCGTTGCTGTGTCCGTCACTGCCAAACTCACTTTCGTCAAATAACATTTGTGTGAACATGAGTGTTACTTTAAAGATGCTGTCAAGGAAGTGTGCTGCGATATTTATTTGCTTCGTTCTTTCTTTCTCAAACGACACCACTGCGAGTGGGATTCGCCGCAGCGCTCTCGAGAGTAAATTGAAAGTCTCCGCGTGGAGAAACGGAAACCTGTAAAATAACTCACTGGGCGCGGACCCCATGGGTAGGGGACACGCGGCCCTGGGAATCCGTAAGGGGTGTCCGAGCGGGCCGCGACCCCAAATCAACCCCTCGACACGCCGACCTCAACACAGAAGCTAAGCCCCTCCGAGCCTGCTTCGTGCCTGCATCGCAGAGACCGCTGTTGAACCCCACGGGTATTTCAGAGGCGCGGTGTGTCCACGAGATTTGCGGCACACTGATGAATTGTTAACAAGCAAAAACAACTGCAAAGGTTATGTATTTAAAGTGTTGTGCCCTCATACACGTGGGTTATCACGTCACGTCCCGGTTTTCCTCCCAAATAAAGCCAAACGTTTATTGCAGGAGGAAAGCCATATCAGTATAACATGGTTGGCTCGCTTACTCGGTTTAAATCAGCATGCGCAATGCCGCGTGGATCAGCCCCTACTGATGAACACAGCGCGGGACACATTCGCTGATATCCACGCGTCCTTATTTTGCGTGGGCCATGAGCCAATATGTCAATCTTCCCCCATCACAGTAGAAGCCGATTATATACACACCTTATAAGTACAGTTCTGATATATGCAACACACCCTAACATTACACCGGCGGGAAGACGCATGGCAGCTTCTGATACAAATACTCTACACTTGGAATACCGTGTTCCACCAGCTCCTCCACCACCACCACCACACTGCAGGTCACAGCAGCAATCCACTCACTCACTCACCACACTGCAGCTCACAGCAATCCATTCATTTACCCCCCCCCCCCCCCCCCACAGAGACCACCCTGCAGGTTACAGCAACCTTCTCACCCATTCACTCGACACACTGCAACAAACAGCAACTCACTCGTGATTAGCATCGTTGTCCTACCCACACCTCCGATTAACACGATTGGCTCCGTACGGTGCGAAAGTTCAACATAAACTGTATACAACCCATTTACTCACTCACTCACCCACCCACTTGCCACACAGCAATCCACTCACTCGCAAACACACTCACTCACCCGCTCACACACTCACTCTCACCCACTCACCAACTCACACTCAGCCACTCACACCCACTCACTCACACCTACTCACTCACTCACACTTACTCATCACTTCTCTTTCTACTTCTCCCCTCGCGCCGCTTCACTTTGGAATTCCCTCCCATCGCCGTCTATCGCCCCCAAGCATAAACAACAACCTTGCCCAGTTGAGACAAGTGTTAAACCTCATCCATTCCAACCTTGATAAGAGCTGTTTGTTGCCAGCCGAATGCCGTTTCGGACCTTTTGCTCAGCAACTATCAAAAATAACAAAACACCAAAGAGAACAGATACGTGTGGCCTTGCTCCCAAAGCGAAGCGCTCGGTCGCTCAGCACCCAGCTTCTTCCGCTCAATCAGCAAGGCCTCCTTGGTCTCCCTTTCGGCTGTCACTTGGCCGGATCAGTCGAACGCACAGCATGGAGGTAGCACGGACGATGGGATCCGCCCGATGGCGCCTTCAAAAACACCGTGTATGAGGAGGGAGCCTCCGACGATAACGCAAAGTCGCGGTTTGGTCTTCTAGGTCTCACGTGCAGTGCGCTTAGAAATCACGGCCACTTCGGTGGCGGCGGGGGGATGAGAGCCGGCACCCTCGGTGTGACGGGGGTCTTGATGGTAGCGAAGGAGCTGCGAACTGTTCATCATCACCTTGCTTGCTGCTGCTGCTGCTGCTGCTTGGACAACAGCTGCTGGGACCAGGGTACGAGGAGGAGGAGCAGCCGAAGCAGCGAGATATGGGGCGAAGGACAGATGCGTGAGGTGGCAGAAGAAAAAGAGGGCACAGGGGTAGCTCGGTCACAGCCAAGAAGCTGGGAGGAGGTGGGGGAAGAGCTACGAGAAGCAGCTGCTGATGAGGAAGCGGTGGGAGGAACCTGGAGAGAGATGCGAGAATAAGAGACTGGGAGAGCTCAAGAATACAGAGGGAGAAGAGAAGTCGTCTCCTCCTCTTCGCAGAGATACCCACGGACATCTCTGGGCAGGAGGGAGGGGGCTCTGTCTAGAAATTATTTGTGAGCTCCTCTCCTAAGCTATCGCTTTTCTTTGTTCTGAGCAGCAAACCCAGGTGATGGGACATCAACATCAGCTACCATTCTCCACGAAGTGGTGGTGATATCAGCAAGGAATTTGTGCCAGGCTAGGTGTAATCTGAAACTATATGTAGTGTCAAAAGCGTCGCTGGCAGGTGGTGATGGGATGGACCCAGGTGCCATGGGTTGACTGAAATGCCCGACAGATGCACCACCTGTGCTCTCTACAGTGCTAACTCGCTCGATAGGCCACTCGGTGCTCCGCTCGTTGTTGTGAGCGTCGCAACGTCACCCTCCATTCTTGATGGAGGGCGACTGCCTCCACCTGCCCAGCAGCGTCCTTCATGAGCCTCTTCCACAGAAGTCGTTCTTGACACCGCTGGTACCAGTTATCGGCAAGTTTCCGATACCACATCAACCCCTCCCCCCACCCCCCCGAGTACGTGATGTACCCAAGGCATGCTCTTTCATACTGAGTGAGAGTTCCACAGGACATGACGAAGCCAATGAAAGGATAACGCCGCTCTCCTGAAACTTCCACTGCCAAACCAGAGCTGGCCACGAGCAACATTGCCCAGTTAAGCGAACACCTCCACCCTCTCTACAAGCACCCGGGCGTTTTGCTTTGGTAGGGGTGATCCTAAGGCCCCATCTCTTTGTGATATCCTCTATACCAAGCAAAAAAGTCTATAATTTTTTCTCGGAGTGAGCAACAGCATATCTAAACAGCATATTCTAAACAACCGCATATCTAAGATGTTTTATCAGTTTGGGAGACGTCTCTAGATATCGCCCGGCATCAACTAGCCTCCCACTGCAAATGTACCGGATATAAATTCCACTGCGACTGCCATGGAAAGCTACTCCAACTACGTGCTGAAAAAGTGAAATAGCGTACGGGCCAGAGGTCATCCCTATCACACCGCAAGGCAAACAGGGTATGGCTCCCACTCCAGACCACACAGCTATAGCTGGGCCTACCCACCTTAATGAAGGGCCTTAATGATCACAAGCAGAAGATCAGGGACCTGGAAAGCACCAATAAACTAAAGCATTCGTTTTTTTGTAATGGTATCATAGGCCTTGAGCATGTCAATAATGTAGAGATCTAGATTCCGTTAAAATTATTTGGCAAGGCTGGTGAGTCAGATGCCTTCCATGGTCTCCTCTACCAGGTGTGGCGCCATGAGTTATCTTATTTGAGGACTTAATTGCCCAAGTCGGTCACGAGACTCGCACTTGGGTGATAGTGATTTGAGAAAATGAGCCAGATCAGCTCAACAAACATGGTACTGAGCCAACGGGTTTGTAATCACCTACACAACTGTTCCGCCATCGACACATTAGACGCCATCTTGGGTGCGCGCCGGGTCTGAGAAAAAAACGTGTACTGGACTACGCAATGGAAGAAGAGTGAATGTGAGGCCATGCCTTTGATACCTAGAGGAACCTATCGTGGGTGTGGTCCGGGCACCGAACCATCGGCTTGCCATCTGTATGATGGCGCCGACTTCTGTTCGTGCACTGCAGCGGTGGTGGATGTCAACCTACGGTGCCCCCTTTCAAGCCCGCAATGGCGAGCTGTTAAAAGCTGCAGACGAGTATTTGACGACTGCTTTGCTGTTCAGTTTGGCGTCTGGCTCCCTCCCTTCTGATGCCGAGAGGGAAAATGGTCAAGGTTCAGGACCGTGGCTCACGCAGCCACAAACGCTGCACCGTGGTATCCAGTCCGGACCTCCCTGGATGATGATGGAGTAGGTGTTTTCAGCGAGCCGAGATAAAAGCAGCAGACCAAATTCTGCACAACATCAGTCGCGCGCGTCTGTGCACAGACGCGCGCGACGCCTGCGCCGCGTCAACTCTGGCGAGCGACCCCCACGGCAGCAGCAAAGTGCCATTGAGGCGAGCGCCAGAAGAATTTTCCCGCAACCACGCTCTCGGCCTTAACGCAACTTTAGAACGCGACGACTCCTCGATACACACCAACAGCGAGGCTGCGTGACCTTCGAAGGAATAATACCGTTACAATGTATATGTACACACACGCACAAGCGCACACACACGCATGCACGCGCATGCGCACGCAGCGCCACGTACGTAAAAATGATATACTGTAGCGTTCAAAACGTAGTGAGTGAAAATCTGCTGCGCGAGTGCCAACACAAACGTGAATGCTGAAGGTTGTAATACTGACAATGACGCAGCAAATCAAGAGCTCGCGTTCGAGAGTCCTGTAAACTGCCCGCGTCTCAATCCCGCGTGTCCCCAATGCAATACTGCTGAGCGGGCACGGCGTGAGCTCCCCCCCCGGGGACACACAGAGTCGGTGGCTTTGATCTCGCCAGAATTCCTCCCGCCCAGCAGTGTAGCATCCCGGAGGTTACGGGCACAGAGATGGGCGCCGCTCGGCCTTCGACGACTCGTTAACACTGATGGTGGTGTCGGGCTCGGTGGGCCACGGGCCGACCACCCGGATAATATACATGCGAGCTTGATTAGTAATCTACACGTCCCCCCCCACCCCCAGCGCCCTCCTCCACCCTCGGAGATGATATTCTCACGAAGAATAAAATGTACGCATAAAATCATTATAAATATGTAATGGGAGTGCGATTGGTAGACTAAGGCTATAAAATCTATACAGGTCGAGTGGGAATGTCGTCTCCGCTAGGACGGCAGGGGTAGCGGAGGTAGCCGGGGGGGGGGGGGACATTTTAAGTACTTTTGGGGGGGGGTGTCAGGATGAAAAGTTTAAACTTAACATTTAAAAAAATAATACTAATATTTTTAAAAGCGCTACAATTGTACATTCCAGCAGGACCAGCGGGTCGATCCCATGGCAGCGTCGCCCTCACCATACAAGGGAACGTCAGTGCCGCCTCCTGGCCGAAGAAACCCAGAGTGCGATTGTTAATCGAGAACACAAAGTAACACTGATTTAGCGCCGCCATCACCGTCGTCGTCACCGTCGGGGTCCGTCATCACGCGGCGCAGATTCACGCCGGGCTCCCCACGGCGCTCTTCCGTCGACATCTCGGTTCCTCTCTCGGCTCCTCTTCGCCGGGGCCGCCAGTCCGACGCGTCCGGGAGCGCGTGCGCTTGATGGCCGGACGGGTGGGCGGTCGGTCGGTCGGGCGGGGGAGGGCCACGGGTGGCACCGCGCGTGCCGGGGTTTGGCACCGCGCGTGCCGGGGTTTGGCACCGCGTGTGCCGGGGTTTGGCACCGCTCGCCGCCGCTGCGCATTGGGAGCGCGCCAATGCGCGCGCGCGACGTGATATGCTCAACACTCACGTACGTAGCGGGGGGTGTTTTTGTTTTGTTGTCATTTTGATTTGAAGTTTCCTCAGTCCGAGCGTCGTGCGCGAGTCGCTTTTTGCCGATTTGTTTTTCGTTCACAGTACGTGGAGATGGAGTGCAGAACCATTTCCTTTCCCCATAGCGGCAAACGAAGAGAGGGGGGGGGGGACCGCAGCGCCCGCCCGCTGCATACATCAGTGTCAAACAAACATGAGCTTGCGACTGCCTGTTTACGTTCTCCCAAATACCTTTAAACGCCTGCCCCTACCACTCCGCCTCTTGCCGCCGCTGTCATTGCGCAACCTGGGTCGCCAAGAAAAATTTGGCACTTGTCGCAGTTACGAACGCGAAACAAAAGTTAGCGACGTTTTTTTTTGCTGGCTCTTTAAAGTATTTTGCTACTTGTTTTGCTTTCAGCTTATTTTACATCGCAGGTTGAGTGAAGAGGAGGTCCATGGTCGCCAAGTCAGCTCCTGCGATGGCTCCTCGCCTCGACCCCCCCCCGCCCCCCCACAGCCCCCCGGGGTCAGATGCCTCCCGTCAGGTCCCTGATGACTCTGCCCCGCACGAGCTTCCGCAGGAAGTCCTTCTCCCTCGCGATGTTGTGAGTCCACGACTGCGGGGTAGGGGGGGGGGGGGGATCGGCAGCGGTGGGAGAAGAGGGGAAGGAGGAGGAGGGGGGATGGTGAACAGTCAGGGGGGGGGACGAGGACGGTCGGGGACAGCGAGGGGTGGCGATGCGGTGCGCCGAGCGGGGAAGGGGGAGGGGGGCCAGGGCCGGGAGGAGGCGACATGGAGGAGGAGGGAGTGGGAAGATTTGGCAAGCGAACACCGAGGCAGGCGGCGCGGGTGAGGACATTGGCAAAAACGGAGGGCGGCTCGAGATCTTATCCGCATTTGTCGCGGATTATATAATTTGCTTTGAGCTCAGGCGCCACCGTAGCTGTGCGGGCGCTGGTGCTCCCTCCGAGCAAGCACTTTGTAAATAAACTTCAAGTCCACCTCACTAGGAATGACAGGAGCTGCAGCGACAACAAAAAAACAAAAAAACTAATTCTTTATGGGCCTCGGGGCCCCACTTTTCAGTCCCCTAAAACCCAAACAGCCCCGTTTGTTTGTGTGCTAATAGATGGGGGGGGGGGGAGCGGTGGGGGCACACTGCAGCACTGCCAGCCAGGCAGGACCTCTCACTGCAGCGAAAAACCACTCGAAAACAGCAAACATGGAATGTGTAAAGAAAGGAGAGGACGACGGCTTATCCATTGTGAGCAGCCCGCTTGTCCCAATCGCAGTAAACACCCGCTGGGGTAAACGCTCTCTCGCTGACCCGTGATAGAGCCCCTGGAGTAATCTCGCTGTGGGCTCGACCCCGGGGCGGGACATGTCGCGCGTGCGTGCCACAGACCCCCCTCTCCCACAGAACCCCCTCAACCACAGACCCCCCTCAACCACAGACCCCCCTCTACCACAGACCCCCATGAGGGGTCGGCCCCCCAGGGGGGGCTAAAGGTGGCCGCGCGGGGCAGCGGCGGCACTCGGAGTCCGCTTGCTTGTGCCGGCCCCCGTGAGCCGTTTGCGATGCAGCCTTTGTGATTTTAACACGTAGTAGTAGCAGTGCTTTCTTGACCAATTATATCCACGATAGAGGTTTTTGTTTGGTTAGACCGCGTGAATACCCACGACCACTACCCCACACAGCCAAATAGTAAGGTTTGTCACGTAAACAAAACGTGCCGATTAGTTACTAGTTTAGCACACCGGTTGTGTGTTGGAGAGTAAACCCACTACAACATTTACAATTCGAGTGCCGTGACGTTCACCTGGTAATTACAACAACCAGCCTTGTCAGGCGACAAACAGTTGCGGAGAAAGCCTCCTCCTGTTTAATGTAGTCATGTAAATTACAATGGATATCTATTATTAGTTTGGATTATTCACAGTTAATGTACGTACATTATGTACAATATGTGAATCTAACAGTATGCAGAGGAGCAATTAATCCGGTACACACATTCTGTTCAAAGCTTTGCTAATACATCTTTCATATTCTTAGCTCTTTCGGTAAAGTCACGTTGAAGGGAAACAATAAAATATATATAAAACAAAAATTCTCACGACGTTTCGACCATAACACCATAACAAAAACGGTCATCATCAAACGGTCATCATCAGGTTTTTCACACCTGATGATGACCGTTTGTGTTATGGTCGAAACGTCATGAGAATTGTTATTGTTTTATATATATTTTATCATTTTATTGTTTCCCTTCAACGTGACTTTACCGAAAGAGCTAAGAATATGAATTACTGCAGTCACGAAAGCTTTAAATCAAAATTTAATACATCTTTCGTTTCGAGTATGCCATAAATGTCCACGCGACAATCCACTTGGTTGAGCTGTCACTTGTGGCGAGGTGGCTTCTGAAGAAGAGCTACATAGCTCAGTGGGCCTTACCTGGTAAAATAAAAAAAAACTGTTTTAATAGCTTAATATGCAATACCCATTATTGGCTGCTTACAGTTCATCACCATTCGCGTATAGTGACCTGTATAGGCATACAGTTAAACAGCGTACTATTATTTGGTAATAGGCTTCCAAGCAGCACTAAGCCTGTAGTTATTTGAACGTTTAAAATGATTTTAATTTCTCTAGATTTCCTAATTAGTCTTGGCCAGTCGTAAGTAGTTTAACACAAAACATCAACTTATCGAAATGAATTAAGTGTACTTGTTGGTATGCGTGTTCGGCAACTGTTCTTTTAGTCTCATGGTGATGAAGGAATTAAAACTGTTAAAATACCATACATTGCGGGAGTAACTGATAAACTAGCCAGAATTTTGGAAAAAACATTCGAGTAAGATTTGGCACGGTACATAAAATACAAAAACTAATGTCTGGTACTAAAGATGTATTGCCAAAGCTATAAACAGAAGGTGTGTACTGGATTAATTGCTCCTTTGGTAAATGTTACGTTGGTCAGACGGGCGGTGGCGGGTTTAACGACACATTTATATTTACGCGATCTAACCCAACAAAAACCTCTATCATCCTTCGCGATGTCAAAATGAGAATGATGGCGGCGACGCGGTCTCGCGCTCGCCCGCTCACCCGCTGGCCCTTGGCCGCTGGCAGTCGGGTGCTGGCCGGTCGGGCGCTCACAGCGGGGAGGCCAATGCAACCGAGTCGGCTCACGCGGTGTCCGCGACTGGCACCCCGAGCGCCGTGCGGCGCCACCCCTCGGCTGCCCTAGCTTCCTCTTCCCCTCTAAAGGAGCTGCGGTCGAGGCAGCCGGGGCAGCGTGAAGTCATAGCACTGAGCCGGCGCCGCTGAACATATCTAGGTTTGACTCTAAAGGTTCAGCCACCCATGGTAAACCGGTTCTCAAGTGTGGTGAGTTGATCGTTGGAGCCCTGGCACCAGTGATGACAGAGACCTGTAGACTCACACAGAGACCCATAGATTCACACAGACTGGGTAGTGATTTAACCGGGTTCTCAAGTGTATCGAATCGATGGTCTGAGCCCAGTTAACGACAAATGCACGCGAAAAAATAACGTAAAATTTTGTGCGAGTCTATGAATTTGGCAAAATTCCAACCAGTGAGAATTAGCAACGTCGGTTTGACTGCCACGTAACAAAACATTTATCTGCATCAGGCCACGTGGCTAAGCGATTCTCCTATGCCGTGCGAATAAGAAATAACCTGAAGTCGTTTTGCGACATCAGTTTCCGAGGTGCGACGCGGCGCTCTGCGAGGGCGATTAATTAACTCGCACCAACATCAGCGTCAGGCCGATGTTGGTGCCAGTGCACGCAACATCAACGGTCGCCATTCAGAGGCGGTGATATCACCGCTGCCCTTGTGCCAGGCTGGGTGCGCTATAAGGTCACGTGACGTGTCGAATGGTAAGGGACAAACCCAGGTGCCATGGGTTGACTGAATGAGTTGACTGACAGATGCACAACCTCTGCTCCCCACTGCGTTTTAGCCACCTGACACTCCGCTCGTTGTTGTGAGCATCGCTCCTCTGCCCTCCGTTATTGTTGAAGGGTGACAGCCTCCAACTGCCCAGTAGCGTCCTTCACGAGCCTCCTTCATAGAGGCCTAATTTAACCACTGTTACCAGTCATCAGCAAGTTCACTCAGCTACACATACTCCTGTCACACATCAGCCCATCTCTTCTCAAGCCAATGCAGCATCCATTTAGCTCCCTCTATGCAGCCAAACAGAAGCTGTTTGGGCATGCGGTGGATGGGCATGCAGGCTACAGCGAGGGAAAAAAAGTATTTGATCCCCTGCTGATTTTGTACGTTTGCCCACTGACAAATAAATTATCAGTCTATAATTCTAATGGTAAGTTTATTTGAACAGTGAGAGACAGAATAACAACAAGAAAATCCAGAAAAACGCATGTAAAAAATGTTATAAATTGATTTGCATTTTAATGAGGGAAAAAAGTATTTGACCCCCTCTCAATCAGAAAAATTTCTGGCTCCCAGGTGTCTTTTATACAGGTAACGAGCTGAGATTAGGAGCACACTTTTAAAGGGAGTGCTCCTAATCTCAGCTTGTTACCTGTAGAAAAGACACCTGTCCACAGAAGCAATCCAAACTCTCCACCATGGCCAAGACCAAAGAGCTCTCCAAGGATGTCAGGGACAAGATTGTAGACCTACATAAGGCTGGAATGGGCTACAAGACCATTGGCAAGCAGATTGGTGAGAAAGTGACAACAGTTGGTGCGATTGTTCGCAAATGGAAGAAACACAAAAGAACTGTCAATCTCCCTTGGCCTTGGGCTCCATGCAAGATCTCACCTCGTGGTTGCAATGATCATGAGAACGGTGAGGAATCAGCCCAGAACTACACGGGAGGATCTTGTCAATGATCTGAAGGCAGCTGGGACCATAGTCACCAAGAAAACAATTGGTAACACACTACGCCGTGAAGTACTGAAATCCTGCAGCGCCCGCAAGGTCCCCACGCTCAAGAAAGCACATATACATGCCCATCTGAAGTCTGCCAATGAACATCTGAATGATTCAGAGGACAACTGGGTGAAAGTGTTGTGGTCAGATGATACCAAAATGGAGCTCTTTGGCATCAACTCAACTCGCCGTGTTTGGAGGAGGAGGAATGCTGCCTATGACCCCAAGAACACCATCCCCACCGTCAAACATGGAGGTGGAAACATTATGCTTTGGGGGTGTTTTTATGCTAAGGGGACAGGACAACTTCACCGCATCAAAGGGATGATGGACGGGGCCATGTACCATCAAATCTTGGGTGAGAACCTCCTTCCCTCAGCCAGGGCATTGAAAATGGGTCATGGATGGGTATTCCAGCATGACAATGACCCAAAACACACAGCCAAGGCAACAAAGGAGTGGCTCAAGAAGAAGCACATTAAGGTCCTGGAGTGGCCTAGCCAGTCTCCAGACCTTAATCCCATAGAAAATCTGTGGAGGGAGCTGAAGGTTCGAGTTGCCAAACGTCAGCCTTGAAACCTTAATGACTTGGAGAAGATCTGCAAAGAGGAGTGGGACAAAATCCCTCCTGAGATGTGTACAAACCTGGTGGCCAACTACAAGAAACGTCTGACCTCTGTGATTG